TCCTTTTATCGGCAAAAACCTATTTCTATCCCCTCACTTTATCAAATTTGAAGGTTTTAACCCCTTATATAACACTTTTAACTCCTCACTTTACTAAAATTATAGGTTTTAGCTCATCACCTATTAAAATCAAAGAAAATAACTCTCATTTTATACTAACTATTAACCTTATTAGCTGAAAGTAAGTTTTTATCAACTAACATTCAACTAATAATCAGTTAACAGAATAAATGAAATATTATAAAGTTAATTAAGTTAATTTTATTACTTAAAAGAAGATTTTTATCGGCTAACAGTTAACTAATAAAATTAATAATCAGCTAACAGAACTAACAAAATATTACAAAAAATAAGGGGCTAAAAGTGTTATAATATAAAGTGATAGGCTAAAACTTACAAATCTAATAAAATGAAGAGTTAAAAATATCATAATATAAAGTGAGGTACTAAAACCTTCATGTAAGGGCTAAAAGTAGGTTTTATGTGAGTAAAATTAATAAAAGAGGTAGAAGGAGAGGGAGAAAGATGCAGGGACGAAACCCTTTCAAAGTCCCTGTTTTATAATCCCTTTTGATTTAAGAGAATATGGATAGATTGGATTTATTTTTATTTTCTTCTCTTTTTAATTTTTTTAAAATATAATTAAAACTTTTATTTTAAAAAATAAAATTATAAAATTATAATTATGTTTATATTAAATTTTCTCTAATTTATTTAATTACATAAAAAACATAATCTTCTCTTTGCATTTTCTTCATTTATTTTAAACTATACAAACAAAGTTCCTACCAATTCTCCCCTTTCCTTCTCTTTTCCTTTATTTTATTTTTATTTTTGAAAATTGTTTTTCAAGATGAACTCTATGCAGTTTTCTCTTTTATTTTTTACTTTATTAATTTTTATCTAAACATATTCTAAAGGAAGCAAACAAATATACTATAAATAAGATTGTTCATATCTAATTTAAATTGAATGGTCTAATCAATATTGACCAAATTAAATTAAAATATAATCTAAATTATTAACTCAGTGGTCATCTTTTTCTGCTGGAAGTAAGTGGTTCTTAATTCGAATCGTATGGTATGTGGATAATGAGAGATGGTTGTCTCTTATTATACATTCAAGATAAAAATATATATATTTATATATAATCCAAATTGACATCAATTTGAGTTAGTTTGGATTATATAATTTTAAAACTAATATAATTAGTTTGATTTGTAATGTTATTTTAAACTAATTAAATTATCTTATAACGAAATAATTTAATTAAATAATATAATATATTTATGTTTTTATTTTTGGTAAAATAATTATTTTATATGCAAATTGTATTTTGATTTTTTTATTTTCTTGTTATACTTTTCTTATTTCTATAATATACTATTTTTTTAATTGTTCTTCTCTAGTGTAACAAGAGCCCTGCTCGCCTCTTATGACTCTCTACCATCTGCAGAAGCAATTTGGATTTACATACAATGATTATTTTATTAACGACTTATTAATTTAAGTGAAATGAGTTTGGTTCTTTTAAAAGGTCTTGAATTTGAGTTTTTTGAATAAAAAAACCTTATGAGGTTCGACAAAAATCGATTTTGAATTAATCGAATTCAATATAATTATTATATATTGAGATTAATAAAAAAATACATTGATTATTTTATTGGTATTATTATTTTATTATTTATGATATTAATATTTTTATAATTTAATATTTAAAATTTTAACTAATTAAATATTTTTAAAATAATATTAAAAATCAATCCACACTAATATGATTTAAATTGATTATAACACAATAATAATTTAAATTAATTTAAAAACTTTGCTAACCAATATTGTGATTTTAAAAATGTTTAAATTTTATCAAATCCACTCGGCAAAACATCCCTGATTGTAGACAAATATAATGATTATAGCAGTCCGCGGCCACTGTACTTTTCTCCAAACATGTCCTTTATTTTGCACTAATTTTGCCATCCAAAGAATCCAAAGAAGGAAAAATAGCGCGAAAACAAGAACCCTAGCTAGCAATGCCGGAGCTGCCAGAGGTAGAGGCAGCAAGAAGAGCAGTAGAAGAGCACTGCTTGGGGAAGAAGATCAAGAAAGCGGTGATAGCCAATGACCCTAAAGTCATCGATGGAGTGTCTCCTAGCGATTTTGAGACCTCGCTTGTGGGCAAGACCATCGTATCTGCTCACAGGAAGGGCAAGAATATGTGGCTTCAGCTCGATTCCCCTCCATTCCCTTCTTTCCAGTTTGGTAAGTTTCACCCCAAAATCCTAGAAGCATTTTATTTACTGTTCTTTTACCTTCTGTCATGGGAATATTTGGATTTTATTGGACTGTATGCATTTTATCACTGTGAAGAAGGTTTCATGCCAAGGAGATATTTAGCTGCGGGACAAGTGGTTTTGGTTTTCTTAATGGGTTTTTGTTTTTTCTGTCAAATGCAATTTTAGACAAAGAAATGAGACTGCTGTTGTGGTATTTTCATAGACATGGTCTTTCTTCTTGCATTTTAAAAAGTGCATTATTGTGGTGCTAATTCTGTTAAGAATTTGATAAAATCAAAATTAAGTTTCAGATTCTGAGGCCCTGTCTTTTTAATTTTGAATCTGGGGTCTATTAAGAATTGCACTAATGAATTGAAAAGGAAACTAGGAAATTAAAAGAAGCTCCAATCGAAGATGTCGATAATTTGATTTTAAAAGATGGCAATTTGTAAAAGCCTTTCTCCAAAACGAAAAGCATTGATGATATAGCCATATGCATTCTCATATAAGAAACAGAAAAAAAATACAAAAGCCTACCCTATGATCGATAATTCAGCTATCTTAATTAATTTTAGGAGATATGAGGTTATGAAATTCTTTTTGGTTTCTTGATCATGTGGGATAAATGAATTTCAGGAATGACTGGTGCTGTTTATATAAAAGGAGTTGCAGTTACGAAGTATAAAAGGTAAGGCAGAGTTGCTTATATACTTTTTTCCATTGCTTCAGTAATGCAATTTTGGGGTTTTTTTGTCTGGATTACTGAAATAGAAAGCAGCTTGTTGGTATTGTTGAAATATCTTCATAACTTAATAGTGTTGTATTGGGCACTTTTATTTGCTGATGTTAAGGGGAATATTCGTCAAATTACATTTTTATTTGAAAAAGTCTTGTGCTGTATAGAAATGTATATTTGCAAAATAATTTGTTGGAAAATGATGATGTGTGATCTCTTGAATTTGATAATTTTCTGGAGCAATGAGTTTATGGCTGAAGTATAATTATTTCTCCTTAATTCCCTCAATATTTCGTATAAGTTGGTTGCTATGGTAAACTTTTCTCATATGACCAAACCATCCCAGATTGGAAACTAAACATCTAATTTTCCTTGCAGGTCTGCTGTAAATGACACAGATGAATGGCCTTCCAAATTTTCAAAGTTCTTCATTGAAGTAAGAATGTCAAATCCCTTTGAACGACTCTAAATTTCAATGCTTATTTAATTGTTTGTTACCATCTACTTTCTTTTCTTTGTTCTAAACTTGTAACTTCTGTTGATAGAGCATGTATTGGAATAGCATGCTTTGTTGTTTCTTCCAGATGTGAGGCATAAAGTGTTCTTGGAATTCATTTTTATGCCCTTTTTTGTTTTTTTGTTTTTAATTTTTTAAAGATGGAGCTTTTCTGTTACTGTTTCTGTGATGATAAAGTTTTCATTTACAGTTTCTGCAATTCTATTCTTTAAGTTGTTTCCCAGTTTTGGTTTTTCTGTATGGTGTTAACATGGAGAGCTGTGATTTTATATGTATCATTTCTACCAATTTTCTTGAGTTTGTTGACCGAAAAGTTTTGTGTGGGAAAAATGTTCTGCTTTAGTTCTTTCTTCCAGTGAAATTGGTCATTAATTTGTGATTTTTGTTTTTTGGTTGGATATATGTGTGCAACCTCGTATCTAGAACCAGAAAGTTAGGATTCCTATATGCCTTAATGAAATTTTAGTCTAAATTTCAATGATTAATTCTTGCTATAACCTTATAAAATTTTATTTTGCAGCTAGATGATGGTTTAGAGCTGTCTTTCACTGACAAGAGACGATTTGCTAGAGTCCGCTTGCTGAAAGATGTACTTTAAATTGTTACTTGCTAGCCTATAGATGGTCACCCTATTTCTTTAGATTTGTCCAGATTTTCATAATGATTTTGCTTTTACAGCCTGCTTCTGTCACGCCAATATCAGAGCTTGGTCCCGATGCATTGTTGGAGCCTATGACAGTTGATCAATTTACTGAATCCTTAAGCAAAAAGAAGATTGGAATTAAGGCTCTTTTACTTGATCAGGTTATCACCTTTGTGCTAATACAATAATACCCTGGCTATTTTATGTTTAATAACCATATTAATATTAGTTTGTACCTGCAAGAAAAGTTAATATTCGTTTAACCTACTAGCCTTTCTATTTTCTATGCTTGTTAGTATTGGTTTTAGTGTAAATTTTATTTTCTTTTTGGGTGAGAAAGGTATATTTATCCCTCTACTTTCAATGATTATTGAAATGAACCCCTGAACTTTTTTCAGAAGTAAATCTCCCCTCATACCTTTTTTGGTTGAATGAATTAGCTCTCCCACATTTCGGTTCAATAAATTAGCCAAAATTTAACGAATGACTTAAATCATCTGAAGTCATTCTGTCTTCCCCATTTAATGCTTGTTAAGATTTGATATTCTTTGGGCTCATTTTTATGAAGATGTGGCATTTTCTTTTCTTGGTTTCAAGTTGGTTACCAAGAAAGAGTTAATCAATACCATTTGGCTACCTGTAAAAAAAATCATTAGAAAAATAGGGCCAAATTTGTCAAATCAGTGGGAGCTTAATGAGTATTGAAGGGGAAATACGGAATGATGATGTATGATAACGTCATTTGTTAAATTTTGGCTAATTTAATTCAACCAAAATGTGGGAGAGTTAATTTCATTCAACCTGAAAGTATGGGGGATGTTTTATTTCATGAAAAAATATTGGGGCTCATGCCTCATTTCAATAATCATGGAAAGTAGAGGGGTAAATATACCCTTTTTACCTTCTTTTTAACTTGTTTGGATGTTTGAAACATATTTAGTCCCTATTTTTTTATGGTATAATACATGTTGAGCTGTAAATATTGTATTGGGGGAAATTTTGCAGTTATGTTTATTCTTGTTTTCATCTGTTGTGAACCTTTAAAATTTGACTACTAACATCTTGTAAGATAGATTTACATAATCTATTAGCCAACATAAGTTTTTTCATTTGCATTTGAGAATATTTTTTGGTTGATGTCAATTGAATTGTCATAACTTATTAGCTTGAATTTATTAATAGATTCCTCATTTTTTTATACATTTCATGGTCTGAAGTACTTTTAAGTTAACTTTATATACTTCTGTAAGATTGTAATTGATACAAAACCAGTAATTTAGTGCACTTAGGAATTCCACATGGCTGGATAACATAACAGGTAAAACAAGTGGGTAACAATTTGATTGTTTTGCATATACCAAACACAGAATTCTAACATCTTAAAAATGCGTCATTCTCACTAGAAAACATCTGCCATCATCATTTTGAGGCTACAAGCTATATCTGCCTCATGAGTACACTTTTAATGGAGTTACTTTCCTTGTCTACTTATTTACTTCTATTTCCCAGTTTCAGTGGAACCAAATGCTTCTTCTTCATCAATAATTTCCTTTTTCTTTTTTTTTTTTAACTTCTCTTTAAGATGACTGTTTGCAATTTGATTTGAAAACAATTTGATATAATGCTCAGTGCACACATCCATCCAAAATCCATTCAAACAGCTCGACATTTCATTTTTTACAGTGCCTGTTTCTCTTTTTCAATAGTTGGGCTCATTAACACAATGTTGATTTTGGTCGTGTTACTGTACAACTTGTTAACTGTTATTTGTTAGCATATCATCCTTATCTTTGCAGATTTTGGTCTTGTTTTCAATTTGTTATTTAGAATTTCCATGATGTAATTAGAAAAGTCTTTGTTTCTTTCCCCTGCCTTATATTTTCCCATAGTTTAATGTAAGAACAATTACAAGGAACATGGTGATACTAGTTAAGGGGTAGGGTTATTCACCCCCTTCTTTACTCATTTTAATTAATTTGACCAATTTATGCTAATTAATTATTGTCCCTAATCAATATTATTTCTCTTTTTGTCACCTGGGCTCCTCTTCTGTCTACTTTTCATGTTTTCTTTCCCTTTCTAGATTTTAATCAATTAAATTAAGCTAATTAACAAAAGTTATAACTTTAATTTAGTAATTAAGATTATAGAACATTAATTCTATTAAAAAACTAAATTAAAAAGAAGAAGGAAGGGGAAGGATGGGAAGAGAAGAAGAAGAAGATTTCTGTAGATGAGAATAAGAAAATGTAATTAAGGTCAGAAATTAATTAGGGATAAATTAGTCAAACTAATTAGAATGGTGTGGCAGTGGCATTAACAAATAAAGGTGTGGAAATAACTCCAGCCGTAGTTAGCATGGGCATTAAAAGTACATTGGGATAGTGAGAAAAGAAAAACTGTCCTTCAGAAAGGGAGGTACTTCTGGTGTAGAACTAGGAGAATTACTTTATAAGTTGTCTTGGTATAACATTAATCTGAGTCAATTTGCCTACTTCTAAAGTTAATGTTTCTTTGATACCTATTGAGATCAAATAATATGAAGTGAAAAAGCTCTTATGGAGTATCTGTTCCCAAGCAGCAATGTAGTGTCTCATGCTCTATTTTTTGTTCTAATACAGGACTTGATTGTTTCTCATTTCTGCAGAGTTTTATCTCAGGTATTGGCAACTGGGTTGCAGACGAAGTTCTATACCAGGTTAGCATCCCTTTATATTACTACATGTTTAGAATTAGTGTATGTTTCCTTTATTTTGGGTATATAAGTTCTGAATAATACTCAAGTGTTCAACTTGACTTCATGCACACAAAGTCACAGGTGGACACACAAACACATTTTGATGTAGTCTGAATGTCTTTTTTGCAAGGTTGCAGAAAGTGCTAGGTGATGGTGGGCAGTTGCCCACAGCCTAGAGCCTAGAGTGCATAGGTAGTGCCTAGGTGGTTTTTTTTTTAATAATAATTTTTTGATATAATTCTAAGAAAATAAGAAAAAAATGTAAAACAATTTTAAAAATTATAAAATAAATG